AATATGTTTAAATCACCGGTCCCTTCAGATGAACCACCGGTTCGACCAGTGAACCAGTGAAGTATCTTGACCAGTTCGGTCACATGTGTTGTTCTAAAAACTATGGTTCCACCTTCTCCCATCGTTTGTCTGAGTCGCTCTTCTGTTTCACAACATTTCCCAGGTTAGGTCTCTTCTTCCTTGAAATTGCTTCTGATCTTGGTCCTTCAGCCCCCCTTATCGATTCCATCCCTCAGGGGGTGGACAGACCTTACCCCCGGCCAATCGTCTGGTCTAATCGAGCCTGCTTCGCTGCTAACAATGGCCTCCTCGCGGGGTCACTGTGGCAACCAAAAAAAGATTGCTCAGGAAGCAATACACTTCCCTTGAACCAAGGCCACCTAGTCCTAGGGTAGATCTAGACGATAACATAATGGAGTTGTGCCATTGTTAGACGTCTGATCACGAATTCGTAGACGCAACTGATATAGTGGGACCTTCAATTGAGGTCCTTAGGCCGAGCAGACCTCCACAGCCTTGGATGCCCATGCCCGGTTCTTCACCATCCACCTTCGTTTACTGAAGTGAGGCTTACGCTTCCCTCTTCACGACCTTATCGTCGAGTATAATGATAGAATTTAGGATGAACTGGATTGGACAATAAGACACTTGGGTTGAGCCACATTAAAAGATTGAATCCAATCGCTTAGTTAGTTCAACTCAAGAGCTTATATACAGATTATTTTGCTGTTGAACTTCTAGGTGGGATAACCACCACGATCTTCTCCCCTGTCAATTAGTCCCCAATTCTTTCAGATTTATTATCGAGCAGCCGGGGTCACTCCCTCTCTTGAACAATTTATCTTCCTTTTCAAGCTGTCCAAGGGAAACGGAGACTGGGCCTCCTGCCTCTCTTTCTCAGCTATCTAGTAAACTCTTCACGAGCCACAAGAAGGGGTCAAACCACTACTGGAAACCCATTTTTGTTTTTGTTTCTACCGGATCAGAACCCCCCTTCACGGGGTCTGGTCACCCTTCTTTTTGTAGGATTCCGGTGCCAATCCCAACTACAAAGTTAAGGAGTAAACCCATGTGGCTCGACCAGATGGACAAGTTGGTCCCCCCCTGTGGCTGCCGACGAACATTGGGGCCGACTGGCTAGTCAAATAGAGCACACTTCCATGAAAGAATATTTGACTTATAAGCAAGCACCAACACAAGAAAATACCCCAAAATTTTATCTTTAAAATTCTGTTTTAGTTGGTGTACAAAGTGTAAGCCGTAGCCGGTAAGCCTACCATTGCCCATTGCCCATTTTTTTCACCACTATCGGTGCTCTTCGAAGAGACAATTACTCCTTAAATTCTTAAAATCCCATTGGCTGACATACTGAGTTGGGTTTACCGTCTCTCGCTGGCCTGCGGGGCTGGAGCAGTCGAACTCGAGCAGATGCTCGACATTAATAATTTACCGGGTTAACTTCTGCTTTCTGCTTTTTAAATCCCTCATTCTCCTATCGATCTGTTACGGTTGATGTGTTTAATATACTTTATCCCCAAGAATGGGTTGAATAATCACACTTGTGCACATAAACAGTTTGATGCAAGGTTGCATTTTTGTAGAACCCATCTCATTTTTTCGTGATTGCTTCATTTTTTTGGAAGGGGATATCAGTGTGTGATGGGGTGGGTGGGGGTTGGGGGGGACTTGAGTTTTCTTGGAGTGTTAGCTTCATGAATCTTTTCCCTCATTAGGCTTGTGACATGGAGCGCTTAAGTTGTGAGTATATAAAATAACATGTCTAGCTGGGAGAGTATTTCGATTCCTGGAAAGTATATGTATATCCCATTTTAATTATTTCATCTAGAGATAAAAAGAGAGAAACAGTTTTTCAAATGAAATATAATTAACACCATGGTTCAATTGACATATTATTCAATGTCAACGGATCTTTGCCTTATTATTATATGAAATATTGGAACAGAGAGGCGACTAGTTAGGTATAATGGGCACAGAGAAATCATCTTAATAAATAATAAGGCATTTTTTGGGAGAGTATTCTGTTTTCCCCCCCAGTATTGGGGTTGTTGTTGTTCATACTAATTTGCTTTGTCAATTAAATTTAGGTATTTTTGATGATACACCAAATTTCTTACTTCACTGTTCCGCCACAGGATGTTGGCAGCCTGCAAAGATAGGTTTATTTCAAAGAAGCCACTCCTTCGGGTCTATCACCAAACCTATTTAACAAGTAGAAATTGCATTCCGATCTCATTGAGTGGTGTTGAATTAAACAGTGAAGAGATTGTGTCCAAACTCCATTTTTGCACTGAGTTCCATTCGGTGAAATGCCTGCATGCCCTTCTCATCACATTTGGAAAGGCTCAAAGTGTTCATACTGGCACTAGAATTCTAAATGCTTATGCCCGCGTGGGTAATGTTTCGTTTGCTCGTAGTAGTTTCGATCAGATTGAGAAGAAAAATACCTACACTTGGAATTCATTGATATCAGCTTATATTCGTAACTGCAGATTATGTGAAGCGCTTCGTTGTGTATATCAAATGTTGTCATCTCATGATGCTCGTCCTGACTTTTATACTTTTCCTCCTATTTTAAAAACTTGCCGTAACGTAAGTGATGGAACAAAGATTCACTGTTTGGTTTCAAAACTAGGTCTAGAATGTGATGTATTTATAGCTGCATCTTTGGTGCATATGTACTGTCGTTTTGATGTTTTTGACTGTGCTATCATGATATTTAATGATATGCCGTTCAGAGATATGGGCTGTTGGAATGCTGCAATTTCTGGGTTCTGTCAAAAAGGAAATGCTGTAGGTGCATTGAGTATCTTACAAAAGATGAGATCGGTTGGAGTTAAGATGGATGGAATAACTCTAGCAACTGTTCTTCCCATTTGCGTTCAACAGAATGATATTCGGTGTGGAATGCTAATTCATGCATATGCCCTAAAACATGGGTTAGATTGGGAAATATATGTGTCAAATGCGCTGATAAACATGTATGCCAAATTCGGCGAGTTGGGGCATGCCGAGAAGATCTTTAATCAAATGGCGGCAAAAGATTTAATTACTTGGAACTCAATGGTTGCTGCATATGAACAAAATGATCACCCAAATAAAGCAATTGAATGCTTTTCAGTGATGCAGCTAAACGGATTTCAGCCTGATTTATTATCATTAGTGAGCTTAACTTCTAGTATCGCTCAAACGAAAATTTTTCGATATAGCACATCCATTCATGGCTTCATCCTAAGAAGATGCTGGATACCAGAAGATGTGGTGCTCGGGAACACAGTAGTGGACATGTATGCTAAAATGGGTTATGTTGATTATGCACTTGAGGTTTTCAATAAGATCCCTTGCAAGGACGTGATTTCGTGGAACACTATCATTGCAGGTTATGCACAAAATGGCCTTGCAAGTGAAGCTATTGAAGCCTATTGTATGATGAGAGAGTGTGAGGGAATACCACCCAATCAAGGAACATGGGTGAGCATTTTGCCAGCTTATGCCCATTTAGGATCGTTGCGAGAAGGGATGAAGAGCCACGGACAGGTATTCAAGGTATGTCTCCACTTAGATGTCTTTGTGGGTACTTGCCTGATTGACCTCTATGGAAAATGTGGGCGACTAAACTATGCTATGTCTTTATTTTATGAAATTCCCCGGGAGAGTTCAGTCCCTTGGAATTCCATGATATCCTGTCAGGGAGTTCATGGGCACGGTCTAGCATCTATTCAACTATTTAGAAATATGCTGGATGATGGGGTTAAACCAGATAGTGTTACATTCTTATCACTTTTGGCATCCTGTAGCCATTCAGGTCTGGTTGATGAGGGAAAACAGTACTTCGATTTGATGCAGCAAAAATTTAGGATAAAGCCCAGTATAAGGCACTATGGATGTATGGTGGATTTATTTGCAAGGGCCGGGCAACTGGAAACAGCATATAATTTCATTACAAAAATGCCCTTGCAGCCAGATGCTTCAGTTTGGGGTGCTCTTCTCAGCGCTTGTAGAGTTTATGGTAATGTTGAGTTGGGAAAATTGGCTTCTGATAACTTGTTTTCGGTCAACTCAGAAGATGTTGGATACTATATTTTGTTGTCAAATATTTATGCAAATTCCGGAAAATGGGAGAGGGTGGATGAAGTGAGATCATTAGCAAGAGATAGGGGATTAAGGAAGACCCCAGGATGGAGCTCAGTTGAAATAAGTAACAAGATTGAGGTTTTCTATACTGGTAACCAGTATCATCCGCAATACAAAAAGATATATGACGAGCTGGAAATGTTAACTGCTAAAATGAAGAGCCTTGGTTATACCCCAGACTTCAGTTTTGTGTTGCAAGATGTGGAGGATGATGAGAAGGAGCACATTCTTGCAAATCACAGTGAAAGGTTGGCAATTGTATATGGACTTCTCAATACCCCTCCCAAAAGTTCAGTATGTATTTTCAAGAATTTACGTGTTTGTGGCGACTGCCACAATGTTACTAAATTCATGTCAATCATAACCGAGAGAGAAATTGTAGTGAGGGACTCAAATCGCTTTCACCATTTCAAGGACGGGATTTGTTCTTGTGGGGACCATTGGTGACACGTGTCATAATTTTGTGATTACAAATTTAGAATGTACACAAAAAGATTTATATCTTCACTCTATACCGCTGCGTAAAAAGAGCCAAAGAGGTTGCATTTTCTCCGAGAAGTCAAACTCAGGTACTTTTCTCACTTTTTTTTCACTCCTTTAATATATTCTTTCTTTGATTCAGATGCTTACTGCTAATATATTAAAGGCAAATTCTACCACTAATATCATAAGATGGCCATTCTCTTATATTTGAAAGCACTAACTCTGACTCATGAAATAGTGTTCTTGGCTTAATATAAAAGCAGATGTGTTGGTTATAGAATTTTTGGGAGTGAGAATATAATATTTTCTGAATAATGAATAAAACCACTCTTGCACACTAATTTTACAGCTTGGGAAACAATGGGAGCATGCATGGGTTCTAGACTGTGTCTTAGGCATATAACTTCATCTTAGATGTTACTCCCTTGGTCCCAATGAGTTTATCCTATTTGATTTTCACGGTCTTCTAGGTGAACGTTCGTCTGTCAAACTTACTCGCTCCGCCCATTAATTTTCTTCCCACTTTCCTTTTTAGATTGTCCACCAATTTTCTTCCCATTTCCTTGTTTTGCAGATAATTTTAGATTAACTTTCGTATTTACCCTTCAAGTCCCATCTTTGCCATTTCTTTCTCTTCCAATCTACCCCTATCTTCTTCCTCCTCCCATCTCTCTTCTTCCTCCTCACATCTACACCAATCTTATCTTCTTTCAAGTGTTCTTCAATCTTCTTCCTCCTGCCTTCGCTACGAATGCAACTACGATTCTTATGATATGCAAACTGATCTTGGCCTCGGATCTGCCCGACTCCAGATTTGATTCTGGATTGGCCATCAGTGCCTGTCTCGAGATCCTTCCCTAAACCCTCTAGTGCCCAAAAGTCAGTAGTGTTTAGTAAATATGTTTTATATGTAAACCATTTTTATAATGCATTCTTTAAGAAATCAAGAAAGTCAAACTCCTTATGCGGTGTTGTTTTCCAATTTTTTAATTCTCCACTTTTAAAGTTTATGGTCTCTGTTATTTTTTTTCATTTTGTTCAATTCATCTGCTGTTTGCATAATCTCCAATGGAGTCGAATACCAACTTTTTCTTGGCTTTCGGGTGTGATGGAATAAAACTTGCATAGTCTCCAATGGAGTCAAATACCAACTTTTTCTTGGCTTTCGGGTGTGATGGAATAAAACAAAGTGGCTCTTTAAACAGTCTGCACTTCTTTTATTAGTGAAGTCGCAGTTAGTCAATGCAACTTTCGGGATCATGTTGAAACAACCATTCTACGGTGAGTGTAGCCACCAACTTTGATCATGTAGAAACAACCAAAAGAAAGAGGAAAACAAGTAAAGGAAAATAAAAGAAGAAGAAGAAAGAGATACAGAAAAGACTCAAACACACATAAGTACAACAAACTAATGTAGCAAGTTCAGCACATATACAAATAGATCAATCCCCGCAACATAACTACAATAAACTAAGGTAGCAAGTCTAAGATATATTTATATATGGATAAACCACTCCCCCAAAAACCACTTGGTACATAGAACTTCAATTAATTCATAGAAAGTAAGATGCAGAAGATGTTTATTGTATGGTGAAAGTTTTCTCAAATAGGTAAAACAATAATTAGAATTGATGTTTTCAGATACACTGGACTTCAAGAAAAGGAAGAAAAAGGGCATTTTGAAAGAATGATAAAATGCCTAGAGCTTTGGTGATTTCCCTGCAATGTCGATGACAAAGCGGTACTTGACATCATTCTTTGCAAGCCTCTCCAAGGCTTCATTTATTTCATCTGTTCTCACCATTTCTATATCGCACAGTATGTTATGCTCCCCGCAGAAGTCAATCATCTCTTGTGTCTCCTTCATACTCCCAGTCATGCTACCCTTTATTGTTCTCTTCCCTGTCAGTGAATGTAGTTATTAACTTATTATTATTATTATTATTATTATTATTATTATTATTATTTAGTTGATATTTAGTAGTAATTTTTATTCCTTTGAATACCATGCAGAAAATTAACCCCTTACCAAAAATCAATGGGAAAGAAGGCAAATCCATTGGCTTTTCTGGTGCACCCACCACCACAAGTGTTCCATTCACTTTAAGCAGCTCTAGGTAAGCTCCCAATGAGTGGTTTGCTGCCACTGTATCCAAAATGAAGTCCAAAGTCCTTTTGCTTGACTGTAATCATATTAGGATGTTCCTCTATTAATCTTTGGCAAAAAAAAACAAAAGAGTTTGGTGCATAACACACATTTCAAGTTGATTGTGTTTCTATTTAACTCAAGTGATCTTGACCTGCATCTGTTTAGGATTGGTGCTAAGAATGAAGTCATCTGCACCCAAGTGGTCTTTAGCTTCCTTTTCTTTGGAGGGAGAGGTGCTGATGACAGTGACATGGTGACCAAGAGCTTTCCCAAACTTGATAGCCACATGGCCAAGCCCACCAAGCCCTATTATCCCAATTCTCTTCCCCTTTGTGTCCAACAGGTTGTTGTCCTTCATGGGACAGAACACTGTTATCCCGGCGCATAGCAGTGGGGCCGCTCTGTCCATTGCCAGATTCTCCGGGATGCGCACCACGTACCTTCATTTGAGTAACACCCAACATTAGCGGACTGACTTACGACAACAACAACAACCCAGGTGGGACCCACACAAGTAGGGTCTGGGGTTTCGCGGACCGACTAAATGTTCTAAAAACCGCTACATAACAGACTCGGGCATGTAGTTCTTGGGCAGCCTCAGACAATGCACATGCTCAATTTGGCAGGGTTCATTTGGGACAAAAAATGTGAATATCTTACGCCTATACAGGGCCTCTAAATTACTCCCTTTGTCCCAAAATAAATAACTTGCGTTTCTTTTTAGTTCATCTCAACATAAATCTTTCTTTTACATCCTTACACTTTTAACTCTTTAACACTTTTCTTAATCCCGATCAAAACGGATTTTTAATTTTGGACGATGAGAGCATTTGTATTTGTTGTCTTTGTTTTATAGTAAGAGCTTGTTCTCTTCAACTTATCCTTTTCAATTATTACTTATGTTTATTAAAATCAGATCAAAAACATCTTTAAATATAACTATAATCAGATCAGAACTAATCATATAAGTTGAAGAGAACATGCCTTAAGTTTTTTTAACTGCCCCTTGGTCCCCCAAAAAAATGTAGAGATCTAGCTATATCTAAATATCAAAAGCCACCTACGGACTTAGCTACACCCACAACTTATTAGGTTTTACAGCATATCCCTTGGTCTTTAGGGCTCCACACCTTGACTCGACAGGTTGTGAAGAGGTAAATCGCTGTTTGGTTTCACTTAAACATGTTTGGTGAGATTTGTAGCATTGATATGATATGTGTTCTGAAATTCTGAAGAAATAATATGGGTGTGACATTTGAAATAAGAGTTTGGTGTGATTAGAAAATGAAATCAATTCTGACATTTTGTTGTTTGGTGAGAAATTGAGAAAAATAAATGAATGATGAGGTCTTTAGCCATGGAAATAATCCCTCCATTCTTTTTTACCTTTCAAACTGTTGATACATTGAAGTAAAAAAAAGCAGTAGAACACAAAACAATACCAAATGATATGATTCTAGGTGAGAGTTAAGGTAATGTGCACATATAATAATAATAATATTTATTGTTATTATTATTATTATTATAATAATTCATATTACCTATGATCAGCAACCAGCATGTTGGAGTAACCACCATAGGTAATGGAGCCATCCCAGAAGATGCCATTGTAGGTGAACTGGACTTGGTCACAATAGTTCTCTTGGGACCCTTTGCAAAATTCACACTCCAAACAGGTTGCAGCCAAGCACCCTACCCCTACTCTGTCTCCAATCTTGAAATTCCTCACCTCACTTCCCACTTTACTTATAATCCCTGTTATTTCATGCCTACCATTTTTCCAAAAAACAGAGCCATAAAATTGGAATGGGGTCAAAAGGAGGGCATACCCCCCCCTCTGGCCTCAAATGTACGTCATTAGGTTGAGAATAGTATGAACAGATATTACCTTTTCATAGAGCCAATAACACTAAAAAAGTTACGAGGGAAATTACGAGGCAAAATGAAGTTTTTTTTAGAAAAATCATTTTTTTAAAAAATTGGTATATAAATAAAAAAAATAAAATAGGCGGACTACATATCGAAAATCTCACCGCTAACAAGTATGTAAAAATAGTTCCTATTATGATTCTTGGCGGATTTATTTTTGTGATTTGACTTCCCGATTATATCCTTAGCGTCGAATAAAAACGAGAGACAAATAACTTACTCCGTATTATATTAATACAAAATGGATAGAGTTTATTGCAACGACTTTATCTGGATATATTAGTCATTTTTTTGCAAAAGTGGAAGTGTTTTGAAGAAAAACGAAAGAACTGAAAGAGGATCCGTTTTCAAGAACAGAGGAAGTATGTGAAATGCTAACAAAAAGTTAAGGTTCCATGTGTAAAAAGTTCAAGACATGACCCGTTCAAATCTCACCGTTATCCAGTTTTAAAAACTTACGGTTTCATATGTAAAAGTTCAAAAACGTCATCCGTCCCAATCTCACCGTTATCCAATTTTTTGTTTTTTTAAAAAATAAGATTTCACGTGTAAGGCTCGAAAAAAAAGACATAAGATACATACCCAGGGACAACAGGGTACATAGTGATGCCCCAATCATTGTTGATGTAGTGGAGATCAGTGTGGCACATTCCACAGAACAATATCTCTATAGTCACATCCTTTGGCCCATTCTCTCTTCGTCTGAAGGTGAACGGTGTGGTTTTGCCGGAAGCCTCACGCGCCGCCCAACCGGTGACGGTCTGGGTGTGGTTCGCGGTGGTTTGCGCCATTTTCTTTTGTTCCCAAAATAAAGGCTGGAAGCTAGATGAAGATTCAATAGGGGATGGGATGGGAGGTTGCAGCTGAAATGCTTAATCAATGAATTTGAAAATGGTAGGTATTATGGGGGGAGGGAAGCTATTGCCTATTGGAAAGAAAGGCTGGGTCATACTATATACTCCCTCTCCCTCTGTCCACCATAGATCTTCCCAATAGCCCTTTTTCTTTGTCCACAATAGATCTTTTCATTTCATTTTTTAACAAGTAAAATACCACAACTACCCCCACTTACTTTATTTATTACATCTCACCCACCTCATTTAATACACTCCACCCATTTTTCATTAAGGGTATTATGGTAAACTTTCACCTTTTTTCAACTCTCCTTAAAAACCACCAAAAGTCAAAATGAGAACATCTTAGGCGGACGGAGGGAGTACTATATACTACTACATTCGTCCCATATTGGATGCCACGGTCCGAACAATGTACAAAATCTAATCATTTTTAAAATTATTTTAATTATAAATTAGTATAGAAATAACAAGTACGCCCTCTGTCCCCCATAGATCTTCTCGGATACTATTCACATGGTCAAACTTTAATCACTTTTTTAATATAGTTTTGTCACCTTTAGTTTTGTAAAACTTTTCATTTAGTTTATTACTATATAAATTACATGGTTTAAAAGTACATAAAAAAAATTTAATAAACAGGAGGTGAAAAGAATATTTTATTTTATCAAATTATCAAGAAAGTGTGTGTGTGTGTGTGTGTGTGTATAAACAAACAAAAGTTATCGAGAGACCGTAATAGTGACATCGGTATGTATTAATTCCGTTTTTATATATTTTCAATGATCATTTGAGAATAGTATGTCACCGCTTACTTTATAGAATTTTTGAAGTAGCTAATTTAAATATATAAATTTATTTATTTATTTCAAAGCAGTCTTTATGGAAACTATGACACTATTTGATTGTAAATTATAGAAAAAGTACATTCTGTTATAATGTAAAATTGGTAACATTAGGTTAATTATAAAATATAGTTTTAAAATATCAATTTTTTATAATTTTTAATTGTTTTAAACTATATTTAATTCATAGTCAAAAGATGCCATAGTTAAACCAAAAAAGTCAAACTGTGATAATCTTAGGGACAGAGGGAGTATTTAAAACGCACATCAAAAGGTCTAAAAAACTAGTAGTGACAATCGGACATAAATATATTATTTTTCTTAAATGACTAATGAAAATAAACAAGAAAGTAAATGAAATTTGACCATGTAAATAATAAACATCCTGTTTAATTTGCGACGGAAGAGTACCAGTTAAAATAAAAATAATGTTTGTCAAACGCCGTATTGGAATACTAATATATTGACGTATGTACAATTTTTATTCAACTTTTGATGTACCTCAACAATTGAATCATGGTATGTGTTAGATGTTCCTTTTTATATTTTATTTGCCTCAAAAATTATAATGGTCAATTAATTAGGAATAAAGAAATATTTTATGCCAATTTTTATTTTATTTTATTTTTCAATAGATCGAAGAAATTCAAATTCAGGGAAAAGAATCTTTGAATTCATATGAGAAAGGCCTAATATTTTTGTGGCCAATAAATACATCACAAGACTTATAAAAAAATCATAATGGTCGATTGACGATTAAGACTTAAAAAAACAAAGAAAAAGGAAAATCATACTCCCGTAATTAGTAGCACCAATTATTGATTGACAGTTGGGCACATAATTTCGGCAGATTGAGATTTAATGCGCGCGCCGGTAAATTAAGTTTGCCGACCAGAGAACAATTGGGGGTATTCATGGTGTCAAACTCAGACCGGTACCGAATAAGAGGCATTTTGTGGACCGAGGACTGACCCGATTAAGGTAAAGACCAATCTGGAACCGGACTGGTAAAACCCGGACAAGGCCGACACGAAATTGGTAAAACCTGGACCGGATCGGGCTGAGACTGGACTGAATAAATGTGATTTTTTATTTTTTTAAAAAAAATTGATGTATTTATTTAATTTAAAATATTCAATTGCATAAAAATATTACTACAATTAATTTTTAATGTGTAACATACACTAAGCATTCTGTTTTTAATTTTTTTTAAAACATCAAATAAAATATATATCCTCCATCCGGATTACATAAAATTTGTTCGTAATTTTTATTTTACATAAGGAATACTTCTAAATGTGTTTTTACTTTTTTGTAATATTATTTCTTTGTATTTTTTTTATTTTGGCAAACGGATACATTTTTTATTATTTTTGTTCATGAGATTCTTTAGAATGTTTATTTTTGTTGATTAGAATTTTATTATTGATAAAGTACAAACTTAAGTTATAGTATTGGTACATAAATTTGAAATGCATTAGATCGCTAATATAAAGGTAATGTTTACTTTTTTTACAGTTTTCATATTAAAATATTTAAATATCATTAGAATTGGTATCTTATTTTGGATTGGAATATATTCAAAAAATCATATTAAATAATAAAATTAAAACATTTGATAAACTTTTAGTATCAAAGTTAAATTAACTTTAAGTATAAGAAAAAAACTTTAAAAAACTTTATTATAAACTATATAGAAACAAATATTTAAAAAAATGTAGCCAATCCACCGGTTTGGACCGAAACCCGGTGGACCGGATCGGAACCCAAATAAGGAAAAAGTGAGGACCGAAGACCGGACCGAATAAGGACCGGTCCAGACCAGTCCGGTCCGGTTTTGGTCAGATTTCGGGTCAGTCCGGGTGCGGACCGAATAATGCACACCCCTAGAGAACAGAGTCACGATGACAAATAAGTCCTGGAACCACGGGTTGAAACTGAACACACGCTTTGGAACGAGTTCGGACGGGTCCAAAATTCTACGGACTATCTTTGAAACGGGGAGACTGCTTTTAAAAAACAGGTCTAGCCGAGTTCAAATATTTAAAGTCACTTATTAATACTCATAATTAATTAAATATCTTACCCTCTGTTGGACAATGTGCTATCATGAACATATATATTTGCAATGTCTTTTGCCCATTATCTTTTAGGTTTTGATAATGACAAAGAGGTAACAAAAGGCCAACATTATATTAAGCATCAATGCTAGGATTCAAGCGGTTCAACAAGTTCATATCCGTATGTGAATAAGAGACTTAAGCATCATCACGTACTTCAATGATCGAAACCGAAGACTTTGTTACCTTGGTTGGGTAGACTTTAGGTCATAGTGTTAAATATATTCTATATTTAATGTAAATATATTGTTTCCTATTATTGTCTCCTACCTTGTATAGGATTAGGAATATATTGTTTCCTATTATTGACTCCTACCTTGTATAGGATTAGGAACTCTTATGTATATATAGACATGTACTCCCACATATTTGATAAATGAAATTAACATTTCTACATGGTATCGGAGCCTAAAAATCAAAAACCCTAACCCCCCCTCTCTCTCTCGTTCGGCCTTCTCTCTCTCGCCGTCAGCGCCGACTCCCCACGGCAGCTCTCCTCACCGGCGACACCCTCTCCTCCTCGGCGGTTCTCTTCTTCCCCTCACTATGGCCGAAAACAGCGAGATCACTTCCCAAAATACCTCCTCCAAACCTCCTCACCTTGCTTTCACAACAATCTCAAACGTGAAACTTCACGTCCCCGTTCAACTCAGTCTCTCCCAACCTAATTACAAAAAGTGGAGCCGACTCTTCCTCCTTCTGGTTCGGCGATTCAACCTCAAGGGCTACATCGATGGCTCCGTCGTCCCCCTCTCCGATGACGACGACGAATGGTTCCAACTTGACGCTCTCCTCCAGGGTTGGATCCTCTCCACCATCACCGATGAGGTCTCAGATCTGGTCATCTCCT